TTCTGATTTCCTCAGTTCTTCTATCTGTGTTCTCTTGGGCGGGGTTTGTCATTTCTTTAATTAATCTCTTTATATCTTGCCTCACTTGAATCAAGAGTACAGCTTTAAATTCATCTATGAGGTCATGGAGGTATTTTTTAATTTCAGCTGATGCTGTGTCCAGTATTGGATGGTTACTGTGCTTGTTCTCTTCAGTGTTTACTTCTCCTGGGCTTATTTTCTCATGTTGGGCAGCTGGAGATTTTTTTTCAAATTTTTATCTCTTGTCATCTTTCTGGATTCTTTCAGACTGGAGTGTCCTGGGGGTCTTTGGCCCTCTCCGTATTGCTTAGGGCCTTTCAGAAGCATCCAGACCTCTCTGTGACAGGAGCACCAGGACAATGGGTCTGCCCAATTCCAGGATGTCTTCCACTAGTTCTCTGTATGATGCTGAAGCCAACACAGCATCAGGCTCTGCCCAATTTCAAGATGTCCTCCACCAGACCTCTCTACAGGGCAACTCGGTGATGTTACTGAGCCACAGGTTCTGCCCAACTCTAAGATGTCTTCCGCCAGACTCTCTGTGTTATTGATGTCCCTGTGGTGGCAGGCTCTGCCCAGTTCCAAGATGTTCTCTGGCCAATGCCAGCGGCCATGGGACCCAGTCCCCAGTACTCACCAGGGCTTGGTGCAGGACCTACTGCACACCACGCTGCTCACCCTCACTGCACTCCCGGCACAGCGTGGAATCAGAAAACTTCACAGCATTCGGCTTCGGAGCTCCAGAGGCTTTCACAATCTCCTCTGGTGCAGCGGGGCAGTCCTGGCTGCTTCTTGGGGTCCCGGGTCTCAATTTCCAGCAGCCACCAAAAGCCGACACAGCTTTTCCTGTTGGGTCCTCAGGTCAGTTTGCTGCATTAGAGGTGTGGGATTTGCAGCCTCCCATTATCAGCCTTCGCAGTCTCAGCATGACTTTAAATCCTCCAGTTGTGCTGTCTTGGTTAATAAGAATCATTATCCATTCGTCTGGCCCTCTCCATGTTGTTATATTCTACCATCTAATATGATTTCTCTGGAGAAACTCTCCACCCGATCCCCTAACAAGCCACCATTTTTGATTCCCTATGTTCTTAATTCTTAAGTTATAGATCCTCTTATCATCTTCTAGTCTTTGTATTATTGCTGTTTGTTTTCTTGTTATTTTTAAGAAGTTTTTCATTTCATGCTCCCACCTTACAAATCTGTCCTCCAGTTCTGATAATCTATCCTTCATTTCTTTCAAGCTGTTATGCCAGCTTTCAATAGAGTTTTTAGTTTCCTGGTAATCTCTTTGAACCTGCTTCACGTATTCTATGTTTTCTCTATTTTCTCCATCAAACAATTCTCCCCTTTTGTTCTGTTCTTCTATTCCACCATTTGTTTTTTCGTGGGTGGTGCTTAGCATTTCTCTAACTATTCTACTTATTTCTTGCTTTATTTCATTAAATACTTCATTTTTGAACTCGTCTATGAGGCTCTGGAAATACTGTTTGATATTGCATGTTTTCTGTCTTCATTCTCTTTTGCATTTACCTTTCCTGGATTAGTTTTCTCAGGACTGGGGACTGAGGACCCTTTCTTGTTGCTCCCTTTTCCCATACTTTTTGTTCCTTCCATACAAGCATATGTAGGAGGCCCAGTTTTTTTTTTTCTCTTTGTCTGTTACAGTTTGTTTGAATCTGCTGTCTAGGTGTTCTCACCCACTGCAGTGTACTAGGGAGACACAGACCTGGGCAGCCTCTGCTGGACCCGCCCCTCCAGGTCAATCTACTGAATGCTTCACTGTTAGGGTGCACCACCAGGCGCAGGGACCTGATTTGGGCTAGCCTACTGGATCTTAGTCCGTGGCATCACCAGGCCAAGCACTCCCCACCACTCCTGCTTGATAGAGGAATATGCGACTAAAGTCACTGCGGGACCCTGTTTCGGCTAGTCTGTTCATTCCCAGAATGTCCTCTGTTGGAGCCTCCTACTCTATGAAAGGGTCCCCATTTCTCTCACTAACCACAGGTTGATGCAGGGCTCCCTGCCAGTCCTGCTCTCAACGCTGTTTGGTTTGCCAATTCCAGCTCTCAGAGCTTTCGCAGGTCTCTCTCCCTGCTGTGCAGATTGGGATGCAGTATCGGCAGCAGGAAATTCAAATTGCAGCTTCCAAAGGCGTGGGATCCAGCTTCCACACTGAGATTTTGTCTGTTACTCTTATAGCATCAGGATTGCATTTCCAGTTGGTTTCTCTCAGCTTACTTCATTCCTGGGTCAGCAGGGTACATCTCCCCTCACGTAGGACTCCTCACACGGCACTGCTCCTGGATTCTAAACTGGTAATCTCAGAGAGCCTCCGTGGCTGCTGTTATTTGTCCACCATGTTCTCCCAGAAGTCTCAGAGCATTCATTTAAAAATTGCAATTACGTATGGAATTTAAGCTAATGATTTTTATATTTAATATATTGACATGTGCATGATATAAAATTATTATGGAGATCTCATATGTTTATTTTTCTGAGCAGAATTTTGTATCTAATTTTGTGTTTTGCACTTAAAATAAAACTTTATTTACAGAGGCTGGTTTTCAAATGTTCCTTGGAGACATGGTGTCAACATTATTCAAGCTATATGTTTTTCTTTAAATATATGGACTTTACTTTTTAAAAGTTGCATTCTATAATAATCAAAGGGGAAATAGTTAATTCTTTGTTGTTCTTTCCAGCTAACACAAATTTACCTAATAAAACATTTCAATATTAGTAAAACAGTATTGACTGACCAATATTTTTAGGTGCATCTAATTATAAATTGGACTTCACTATTTGTACTGATCATTATTTAAAATCTGAAAAATGCAAAATAGCATGTTTGAGCCATTATGATTTTATTCAGATATTTCCCTATCTTGAACACCTCTCTCAGCTCCAGGGTGGTAAAACTTGCCTGTGTAACTATGGTCAGTTGAGGATCACCAATTATAAATTGACATTGGATCTATTTGAAGCTCTCCTTGCCTCATATGCCTTGTGGGCCAGTTTTGGAATGTGTAAATTACCTTCCTCTTGGTCAATGTGATTAGTACCCAAGTGTGGGCATGAATCTTGACTTGTTCCTTTTATGGTGTTAAGCTTGTCCCTTTTACCATTGCCTATCCACTGTTCCAGGAAAAGCACCCTATCTTCTTCCTTACGTTGGGTAATAGAATGCTAGCTTGCTGGAAATGCAGGGTATTTTGCTCCTAGGACCAGGTATGGGTCCCAGATCCCTGCTATGCATCTCTCTGTTTTGTCTTTTTGCTTTTTGTCTCTTGTTTTTTCTTTCTGTAATGCTGGGCACCATCACACAAGCAAGAGATTGGAACCCATGACAGGGGTCTCCAATAACTGGCTCTGTGGGATGGACCACTAATAAGAGTTTGTTATAGATTAAAAACTGGTTGTCAACTTAACACCAGTGGAATTAAATCACCAGCATAGATATTCTACCTGAGTAGAGTTACTGGCATAAATAGAGATGTGGAGAATGTGAAGAGAGGCATTGAAGCACTGTGGATTTCACTAAGTGTTGCTGTTTGAACCTTTGATCCTCCTGCAGGAGCTCTAGTCCTTACAATGAACATTGCTTCTTGGCTCCAGAGGGGAAGATTTGTGTCACTAACTTTCAAGACAAACGTCATTCTGACTTTCTGGCATGTACTTGACTGTGCTTATCATCAGAGGACCTCGGGGCCACTATGTCGCTGAGGATGGCTGTAGTGTTTTTCAGGACAGCACTTGTCTTTGTTTTGAGCATGACTTCTCAGCTCCAGATAGGAACCTCAACCTAGCAACACAGCTCCTTCACCCTGCTGGCAAAGGCTTTCTAGTTTCCACCACTGACCTTGGGCCTTTCGAGCACAGATCCATAAAAGGGAATGGTGTGAGTCCTTCTTGTGGGCTCTAGACCCTCAGTTGGCCTTCTGGGAGATACTGTCATGAACTATGGGTCTTCATCTGGAATCATGCAGAACATTGCTTTGGCAATGAGGCCCTTGTTGAATATTGTATGTCTTCAGTGTTGTGGATAGTTTTCCTGCAGTTTCAGGTGTTAACACTGTGTGACCATCATAAAAATATTATAAACTCCATGTCCTGATTCTAATTGCTCTCCTCCCAACCCCTGACTAAAACAGAATCCTTAAAAATACAGAAGTATTTTTTAGTTTTCCTGATTTGCTTTAGAATAAGAGGAGAAAGGAAATATCCATGCAACACATTTTTCTTGTATGGGGCAGTGCAAAGCTGGAGATATAAAAATATTTCACCACAGTAAGTCAAATGGTGGAATTACCATATTTGAAAGAAATGAGTAGTGAAGAAAGGAGTTGATTTTTATAACTAGGAAATGCAACTCATTTCTGCATTGACCTTTCATTAGTACCTATAATTCAGAATTTCTGGATGCAATGTAGATCTTGGTTCCACAGGCTATGAGGAACATATGTGGCTGGTTTTCTGCACATCTGACATGAGTGTGAGCACGTGTGGTCCTCACAAGGAGTGTTCTGCTAGTGTGTGTGTGAGTGTGGACCTCCCTCTCCTGAGCTTTATGGACAATGCTATCATTGTTCTTGCCTGAACAAGAAACTATTCGACCATTTCACCAAACACCAACTGTGGAATCCTGTGGCACAATCCATTTCCATCATCCCAAAGAGTGTCCATGCAAATGGCTTATTAGTATAGTCATGAAAACAAATTCTCCCAAGGGGAAGTGGCCCTGGGTCCTTGGTCTCAGTGCACTTAGATGAAATCAGCACCTAGGGGCAAAGAGGATGATCTTTGACACAATTTCCAAATTGTCCTTTTCACCTGGACACCAGACCTCAGATACAGAGCCCAGGGGAGAAAATGTTGCAGAGTTTTTCAAGGGGAAGGATGAGTCTTGGCTCAAGGAAGGATAAAGACCCTGGAGTTCTGGCCCCAGATGCTAACAATAACAGATGCATGTACGATATATGTGTGTTTGCCTGCCTGACCCTGCAAGTTCCATCTTCACTCAAATGCACTGCTTTGAGGACCCATCTAAACTATTTCTTTTTATGATCTTCCTCATCCTGTGGTTTATTGTCTTAGTGTGTACCTCAGCTGATGAAGACTGCCTCATCAGAAGAAGTACCAGCACGCAGAGGGATGGAGATGTGGTAATTGGTGGTTTCTTCTCCCTTTTTAACTATCTCTACCTTACCAATTTTGTTGACCTGAAGCCTAGCAAGGACTTCTACCTCCTTAAGTAAGTGCATGGTGTTTATTCCTCTTCGGCTTGTTATCAGGATGGATAATGTATAGGGGCATCTGTGGGTGCATATAGCAAAACTCTGTGTCTGAAACCCCTCCTCACTCACTGGTACACAGAAGCCCTCATTAATTTTGTTCCTTCCTGTTCCCTCTCTTTTTTATGGCTTTAAAGAGGAAAGGAACTATCCTTTTATTTGCTTTTTAATTTCCTATTCAGGCTTGAAGCTGTGGGAGACACCACTGTTTACCTTACACCACTATCGATGCCCACTTTCTTACCTACAATGCCTCTGCATGACATTCAGTGATGCTTACGAGAGACACAATTCACACTCTTTGTCTCCAGCAATGTTTCCTAAATTCTGGGATGTGGTAGTATTTCTTTCATTATGCATACGAAACATGACCTTTTCACAGAGCTGCCATTGTAACTTCTGCAGCACATTCTGCATCCCAGGTTTCACTACAGCTACCCAGTTATTCATTTACCATATGCCTACATCATTAATTCATGCCAGAGGGCTCCATGGCATCAGGAGCTTCAGGGGAGCCAGGAGGTGGGAGCAGCGTTCTGTGAGATTGTTACCTTCATCTTGACTGAACATTGTTTAATTTTTACTTTTTATTTAATTTTAAAGAGAATAAAACAGAACAATAAAACAAAGCAAAATAATGATAAGACATTAGGAAATGTACAATAGTTACTATATTGCATGTTGTTGTCCTCTAGCTGCTCAGCTTTAGGCTTGCAAAGTTAATCGAACAATACAGTTCCTCTGAATCAGTTGGTTGCTCAGGGGAACCATTTTCTCTCCTCTGCCCAAGCACCATGGGCTCACAGGCAGGACCAAACCTTCCTTCCTTGTTCTCCCTATGCTGCTCTCCAGCTGGCTTACAGGTAGGAACTTAGCCTTGCCTCTGCTTTACTGGACACATACACATTCTGTTTTTGGACCTCCTTGGCACCTGTGCTGTAGCCAGTACATGGAGGTGCAAAGTGTCAGGCTGTCCTGGGGGAATGCTGGTGCTCCTGTGAGAGGAGGCTGTCACAGCAAGAACACCAGCTTATGTCTTCACTCACATTCCATAGTCATCGTGTTGGCTCAGGGTGAGGATTTATTACCTCTTCCTTCCTCTGAAAAGTGCCTCTACCTTTTGTATGTTCCTTACCATGTTCAGATATTTACTTGTCTAAGTTTCTTTCTGAGCACTTTTTCTTTGAGTTTCTTTCCTTTTTGGAGGCTGTTTCTTGTTGTTTTGCCTAGGCTAACAGCAGAATCCTGTGCCCCAAGAATTATCCCCACAAGTTGGATTACAGGCAGGTGTCACCCTGCCCAGCATGTGTTTTATTTTCCTTTCCATAATTTCCTCAAATGCTTTTGTGTAATTTTTAAAAATTTTATTTAAAAAATAGGGAAGTCAGAAAAGAAACAAAAGCAACAGGTGTAAGCAACAACAGCAGATTTAAAACAATTACAATACAGGTCTTCAAAACAGAATGAAATAAATTTAACAATGGTTGTTATAATGCATATTGTTGCTTTTTCAAGTAAAGAGAAGAAAACTAAAGAAAACAGAAAACAGAAAAGGATAGAACAAAACCAAATTAAAAAAATATCATTGCAGAATTTCTAGTTGTTACATTTCTCATTGTTGTCTTTAAAAAATAGTTGCCAAAGTCACAAAATCAAAGGATAAATAGTGGTTAGACACTCACACATTAATAGTACAAATCCTTTTGTTCAATGTTCCAATACAAATTCAGTAATATGGTCATCTATTTTACACACTGTACATACTGTTGTACACTTTAGAGCACATTTCTTCACTTTCACTTTCACAGTATCTATTATACTTTGAGGAACCCATTATTCTGTCAGTTTTTGTTGTTTCTTACTCTAAAGAGACAATGTGATATTTACTCATGTGAGACTTGTTTATTTCACTAATGAGGATATTTTCAATTGCCTCCATTAACCTATAAAGGCCTCAAGATTATCCTTTTTATAGCTGAGTAGTATTCCATTGTATAAAAATATCACATTTTTTTTCATCTACTCTGCAGTTGAAAGGCATTTTGGTTGTTTCCAAGATTTAGCCATCACAAATTGTTCTGCTATGAATATGGGCGCACATATATCTCTGTGACATGACTTTTTCAATTTTTGTGGGAAAATACCCAGGAGGGTAATAGCTGGATTGAACGGAACTTCCAATCCTAGCTTTTTTAGGAATCTCCATATTGATTTCCATAGTGGTTGCACCAGTCTGCACTCCAACAACAGTCTGCACATCCTCGCCAACATTTGTCATCAGTTGTTTTCTTGATAGCAGCCATTCTTTCCTGGGTGAGAGGAAATCTCAATTCAGTTTTAATTTGCATTTCTCAAATGAGCACTAATGATGAAAATTTCTTCATGTATTTATTTTCCATTTGTATATCTTCATCTGAGAACTGTGTATTCATTCCAGATGTCCATTTTTGGAGAGCGTCTTTGAATTTGGGGGTCTTGATGTTTTTCAGCTCCTTATATGTTCTGGATATAAGTCCTTTAAGAAATTGTTGGCTAAAATTCTTTCCCGTTCTGTGGGTTTTCTTTACACTTTGTTGGTGATTTATTTTGAAGTGCCAAAACTTTTTAGTAATATGAGATCCCAGTTGTTGATTCTTTGAAGTATTTCAGGGTAGTTTGCATTTTATTCATGAATTTTCTCCCTATCTGTATGTCATCAAGGTTTTTACTTACTTTGTCTTCCAGTAGATTTAGTGTTTCTGTTTTAATATTTAGATCCTTGATCCATTTTGACTTTAGTTTAGTGTATGGTGATAGGTAGGGGTCTATTTTCAGTCTTTGGCATATGAATGTCAGTTTTTCCAACACCATTTGTTAAAGAGGCTATGCTTCTTGCAGTGAACATGCTTGTCCCTTTGTCCAGTATAAGATGGCTGAGTGCCTTTGTAGTATTGTTTGCATCTTCTAATCTATTTCAGTGATCTTCAGGTCTATTTCTTTGCCAGTACCATGCTGATTTTATTACTATGGCTTTGTAGTATAGTTTCAAGTCAGGAATTGAAATGCCTCCTGCTTTGCATTTGTTGCCCAGAATTGCCTTTGCAATTAAGATTTCTTCTATTTATAGTTCAATTTTAGCAATATTTTCTCTGGGTCTGTAAGGTATGTTTATGGTATTTTGATTGAGATTGCATTGTATCTGAATGACAATTTTGGGAGTATGCCATTTACAGAATGTTGTTTCTTCCTAACCAAGAGCGTGGAATATCCCTTGCATTTTCTAATATCCTGTGCAATCTCCTTTTTAAGAGTCTTATAATTTTGAGAATATAGATCTTTTACATTCCTGGTTAGGTTGATACCTAGGTATTTGATTTTTTAGATGGTATTGTGAAAGGTGATATTTCTATAATTTCTCTCTCAGTGCGTTCTTTGTGTATAGGAATACTATTGATTTTTGAGTGTTGGCTTTGTGTCCAGCTACACTGCTGAGTCTGTTTATTATCTCTAGCTGTCTTTTAATGGAGCCTGGTGTTTGGGTGGACTCAGCCAAAGGGTGGGCTGAGCAGAGGTGTCCAAGACTGCCCACGTGGGTCAGGGGCTTGCTGGGTGGTCTCAGCCAAGGGTTTTGTGTGATTTTTATGTATTTCATGTACCAACTTTGATTCTGATGGTTGCTGCTGGTTGTTGGTTTCGAGAATCTTTCAGTGGTGGACTCAGTGAATTCATTTCTGCATCTGCTAAACTCTCAGGAGGAATATTTGTGGTAAGTTTTGAAAGTAGTTAGAAAGAAACAATTGTATACTCAGTCTTAACTTCTGACATAGGGTCTACTGCAACAGTGCTTTGTACTGGGGGTAGAAGGGAATTTGATACTGAACACTGCACAGGATGATGGGGTTTGGATCACACAGCAGGGTGGAGGTCCATGGATGCACATTATGGAGCATGGTTTAGCAGTGAACAGTTATCTGGGAAAGCTACCCTCACCAGGTTCTAGCTGAAGGCAACAAATCTGGTCAGACACCATCTGGTGAGAGTGGAAGATGAGGAAATAATCCTGTCAATTGTGATCGGATTTCTGGGATATCTGGAAATATTCAGAATAAAACTGGACAACATAAAGACAATCAAAGATTCTCAGAAGGCAAGCTGAGGAGTTGTTCATGGGAGAGCTGCATTTGGTAGAAGAACTCACATTTGTCAGGCAGAGGTGAAGATCTTCTGTATCTTCCAGTGAGCTCAGGCACTCTGGGTTGAGGAAGGCAAGGATTTTTTTCTCTTCAGAAGAGGAGAATAGAAGAGAGGAGAGGAGAGGAAAGAAGAGGAGAGCAGAGGAGAGGAGAGGAGAGGAGAGGAGAGGAGAGGAGAGGAGAGGAGAGGAGGAGGCAGGTGAAAGGAGGGGAGGGAAGAGAAAGACCACAGCTCAGTTTCCCTCTCATTTTCTGCTATCTACTATTAGTCCTCAGAGATCCAGTCTGCTTGAGCAGTTGGGTCACTTTCATAGCCTGAGCCCTTTAGACCTACCTAGGACTGAAAAGACACTCATGCAGTTTCATTAGCCATATATATCCAACTGACCTACCCTAGAAACAAGCCTTAAAGGGCTCAAAAAGAATTTTATTTCTCTTAAAATCAGAAGAAAATAAGAATTTTAGAAATGAAGAATAAGTACCTATGTAATATTGCCACATTTCTGACATTATATTGTAAAATGTAGCTTTAATATATTCAAGGGAGCAAGTGTCCCCTGCATACATGTCAGAGCCCAAATATTAATGTAGTTTTGGAAAATCCTCTAGTATTTTTCACGTAAATATACATGCACCACAAAAGTAAGTTTATTCTGCCTCTACTCTGCATGAATCTACTACTACTCAAGTAAAAGAATATGACTTATATGTTTATGTTTCTATATTATTCCAATATTTATAATTGTCATGCAAAAATCATGTTACATTTTGCCATAAATTCACTCTCA